ATATTTGTTTGTTTTGGTTTGATTTTTTTTTTTGAGCCACACCTTGTGGTGCTCAGGGCTCACTCCTGGCTGTGCATTCAGGGATCACTCCGGGCAGACCCAGGGGCAACATGGGGTGCCAGAGATTGAACCTGGGATATGTGCAAGGTTAACACCCGACCTCTAGACTATCTCTCTGGCTGGCCACTGTCATCCTGCTCCCCCTGTGTTCTGTTGTTAGTTCACCTACCTACTGTATTTTTCATTCAGTGATTTTGGACTAAGTTTTCTCACGCTGTCTCTCATACTTCCTCTTCCACGGCTGGAGCTCTTGTCTGATGCATGAGGGACTATTGCCTATCTCATCTATCGCATATCCCCAGTGCAGTGAACACCCTGACCCTCATCACTTTGACGTGTTTGTCAGATAGTTTAGACACTTTTGGGCACGGCGTCCTTCCCTCCGTTGATGCAGGTGAATTCCCCTGCTGCATACTGGCCTGGTGCCACGTGCGGCTGGGAGAAGGGTCTGGTCTTGTGTGTGCCGTTGTTCACAGTCCGGATTCTACTCAGAGACGGGGCTTTGACTGTGTTGCTCTGGCCCGCTCCTGGGAAGTTGTGGTTTCAGCTGTATTTCTTATGCTGCACCCAGAATCTGCATTTCCAGGGCTGACTCTGGCTGTGGCACCAGCGTCCCACAGGCTTGGGTAGCAACTGAGAACTCATGGCCAGGCGCTGCCAGTAGCATCTGTATCTCGGAGCAGGCCTGGTACCTCCCAGGGTGTAGTGGTTCCCTGCATCCGGTCCGCTCCCAAACCTGACCAGGCCTAAGCATGCGCACAGCAGCCAGCGGGGGTTTGTTGCCTTTCCACTCTAGGCCCTCACCCCGAGCCCATCGTCTCTCAGATGTGATTGGCAGAGGGCTGCGTTTGTTTCCCCGAGGCAGGCAGATGTCAGTAGCCCACCCCTTGGACTGGTAGAATTTGCCTGAGCACTGCTTCCTGTGCAGGACGAGATCAGAGCTCCTGACTCGCTGGCAGACACACTTCTGCATCACTGTTGGCTGTGGACACGGGCTTGACCCAGTTCCTTCCTCCTGACCAGGCTCTGTGAGGCTGGGGCGCAGGTCTTCTGCGTGCTGCCGCCTTTTCCCGGGGAAACGTTGTGCACTTTAGCCGTCTCTGATTTCTCCCGTCCCCCTGGCCTGGAAAAGTTCTACACTCTAGCAGTCTCTGTTTTCTCGCACGCCTTATATGTCAGCTGCTCAGCTGTTACTCGTCCCACGGTGGAGAATCTCCCCGAGATGGCTGCTGGGTTTCCCAGGAACTTCAGCAGAGTTGCATGCAGTACTCTGCATTTAATTTGGTTACTCGTTTGTTTTTGGTCTATACCAGATAGTGCTCAGGGGTGATCCCCCAGCACAGTGCTCAGAAGACCATATAATGCCAGGGATTGAATCCAGGGATCTTGCGTGCAAAGCATGCAGTACAACCTCTGTGCTATTTCTCTAGCCCCTAATCTGTTTTGGGTTTTTTTTTGAGGGGCGGGTGATTCTGCTTCAGGATCTCACACGGACTCTCAAATTGTTGTCTTTTGCCATCTTGACCCTGCCTCCCTTAGTGGTTTAATGTGTTGCAAACATTTTATTCCATTTGTGACTGATGTTTTTAAAAGCTTATTTTAAACATGTGAGGAGCGGGACCAGCGAGGGAGCACAGTGGGAAAGGCACTTGCCTTGCATTCAGCCGACCCAGATTCAGCCCTTGGTACCATATGTGATCCCCTGACCCTGAAAGGAGGAAGCCGAAGCCCTGAGCACAACTGGGTGTATCCCAACACACACACACACACACACAAATACTATTGTACTTCACCTCAGTAAAACTTAAAACGATTTTTCTAAATGTAAAGGGTTACTGAGTCCATAAAATTTGAGAATCATTTTTAAAAATCCCAGGAAGGGCCAGAGAGAAAGTATAGGAGGGAAGGCGTTTACCATGCGTACAGCTTCCATGGGTTTGATTCCCCTGACAACCTATATAGTCCCCCAGGCCACATCCAGAGTGTTAACTGGAGCAGTGCCAGGAGTAAGTCCTGAGCATAGCTGGGTGTGGCCCAAACAACAGCAGATCCATAGGGGGAAAAACAGGCTCAAAAAATAAAACTGGGGGCTGGAGCTATAGCACAGCGGGTAGGGCATTTGCCTTGCACGTGCTTGACCCAGGTTCTATCCCCGGCATCCCATATGGTCCCCTGAGCACCGCCAGGAGTAATTCCTGAGTACAGAGCCAGGAGTAACACCTGTGCCTTGCCTGGTGTGACACAAAAAGCAAAACAAAACAAAACAAAACAAAACAAAAAAACCCCTGAAAAAATACACAATTAATTGGCAAATATATGAAGTTTCCCAGTAAAGAAATACAACTGATACTATTTTACTTATCAAATCTACACATTTAAAAAGCACTGTACCGGGGCTGGAGTGATAGCACAGCCGGTAGGGCGTTTGCCTTGCATGCGGCTCGAGCCAGATTCGATTCCCAGCATCCCATATGGTCCCCCGAGCATGTCCAGGAGGAATTCCTGAGAGCATGAACCAGGAGTAACCCCTGTGCATCGCTGAGTGTGACCCAAAAAGCAAAAAAATAATAATAATAAAATAAAAATAAAAAAATAAAAAGCACCATACCATCTTAAGCCAAGGTGCTGTGCAGAGCTAAGTCATTAAAAAAATAATTAATAAAATAAAAGTACTGGGCTGGAACAATAGCACAGCGGCTAGGGTGTTTGCCTTGCACGCAGCCGACTCGGGTTCGATTCCCAGCATCCCATATGGTCCCCTGAGCACCGCCAGGGGTAATTCCTGAGCGCAGAGCCAGGAGTAACCCCTGTGCATTGCCGGGTGTGACCCAAAAAGCAAAAAATAATAATAATAATAAAAAAAGTACTGTGCCTTTGAAGGACAGTTTGAAAGACTGTGTCAAAACCCATGCTCATTCCTCTGATAATTTCTGGAAATGTGTCCATAGAACTTATTAAATGTGCCTGAAGATCTAGTGTGTTCATCATTTTTAAAAAATAGTTTGAAATTTTAGAAATACCTAACATCGACATAATAAAAGACCCTTCCAATGGAAGAAAAACATCAACAAGATCTTTCCTTTGCTCTGATTCACCGGGTAGTGGAGCCCTCTTAGTGGTCCGCTTCGCTCGGTTGTTGACTGGTGGCTGAAGCGAGCCCGCAGACCCTTCCCTTCATCTGGCGGATGTCAAATAATATCCCATAGCGCATAGAGCACGTTGTGTAATTGGCACGTTTGTTCTTTTCCCAAAAACGTTTATAGTTTTTAGCTTTTAAAAATAGTTCTGGAGCACAGCAAGATAGAGAAGAGGAAATTTGGCCTAGACAATACAGAGGCTAGCAGATGAACAGGGTTGATTTCATTTTGGGCACTTTTCCCAGGACACTTTTAATAGAACATATAGTTACTCTAGGGATTGAGTCTGTTATGTCAGGCTTACACATTTATTCTTTAAAAGGAAATTTTGCAAGTTATTAGACTCTAGCTACATTGGTATGACTTAAAATTTTAAAGCTGTTTCTGTAGTCTAGCCATTGATATTTTGCTGTGTGTGGGCTGGATTCCTTAATATTAAAATTAACTTAATCATGAATAGAAAAATATTTTGAATTTGCTCTGTGTAAAATCCTATGTTTTCTTCATTTCTTTCAAAGCTTGGGTAGAGTTAGAAAAGATATCTAAGTTAGGAAGTAGACAGTTGTTTTTATGTGAAGAATTTTTAATCTTGCTGTATTTAGTGAATCTCTTTGTATATTTAAGAATCCGTTTTCCTTTAAAGAAAAAAAAAACCCTAAATTTGTACGGGTGTTTGATCATTGTATGGCCGACTGAGACTTAAACTGAAAGACTTTGTGACTGTTCTCATGGTGATCCAATAAAAATTTTTAAGCAATTTTTAAATTAAATATAAAAACCATAAATAGAACTGTACTTCCTATTTTACCACCCACAATTTAGCTTTACTGACCTTAGGTTTAGCCATAAAAATTCAAAGAAAGGTGGCCAGAGAGCTAGTCTAGGCCTTTAGGTGCTTGCCTCGCATGTGGCCAACCCTGGTCGGATCCCCAGCACCACATAGTTCCTTAAGCATTGCTGGCAGCAGGCCTGGAGGCTCCAGGTCACGGGGTTTGGCTGGCAGGTAATCCCTGGCACCATCAGCGTGTAAGCAGTACCATAGTCTCAGACCCTGGCATTGAACCACCAGCCAAGTTGTAAGAACTGCCAGAAAGAGCCCCGGCGTCTCCTGAGCATTGCTTGGGAGATTGCCCCCAAATTTTTTTGAATGAAGAATACCAACATGGAGCTTGTGTTGGGATAGTGAATATACATAATTTATTAATAATTTTCATTATTTACAACCCTTCAAAATTTAACCATAAAAAGAAATAGTCATTAAAATGGCTGACTTTTTAATGATGTATCTATGTATCTTCTATTAGATACATAGAAGCTTATTTTTGTCTTGATATGTTTAAATAGAACAGAACAGGCCAGAGAGATATTACAGTGGGTAGGGCTCTTGCCTTGTACATGGCTGATCCGGGTTCGATCTCTGGCCCTGCATAACATCCCCCAGGCCCCACCAGGAGTGATCCCTGAGCACAGAGCCAGGAATGATCCCTGAGCACTGTGGTGTGGTCCATATAAGTAAATAAAACAGGACAGTTCCTTTCTGTTTGTTTTTTCTTTGAACCACACCCATCATTATTTATAAAACCCCAAATGAGTAGTTTATACATATGTATTTATAATATTAGAAGAGCTAAAAAATTAAGATAAACAGTATTTTAATTGACTGGTTTTCAAATATTCTAATGATGTTATTATTAGATACTTGTGGCACACATGTTAATTAGAAACGTTTTCTAATATATTAAGATTATATGTGATTTTTAGAACTTAGATTTTTATTATTTTACAAATTGTGTTCTTTTGCAGTTCAAACGATATGTCAGTAAACTTCGAAGCAAGAGTACAGTCTTCAAAAAGAAGCATCAAATAATAGCTGAATTTAAGGCTGAATTTGGTCTTTTGCAGAGGACAGAAGAACTTCTTAAACAACGTCATGAAAATATTCAGCATCAGCTGGTAATACAGTATTACATTGGGGTGCTAGAAATACAAATGCCAGGAGGTTTATATTTTATAGTTTTATATGGAGGTGATTGTTTTTCTTTCTTTCTTCTTTCTTTTGTTCTGGGGCCACACCTGGCGGTGCTCAGGGCTTATTTCCTGCTCTGTGCTCAGGAATCACTCCTAGTGGGACTTAGGGGATCTTATGGGTGCTGGGGCTCAAACCCAGACTGACATATGATAAGTGCCTTCCCTAATGTACTAGCTCTTCAGCCCCAGGATATTGTTTTTGTTTAAAAATTCACAAAATTACTAATTGTCTTTAATTACACAGGTGTCATATAAATGGAATCTGTGTTTGTGTGGTTCTGGGGATCAAACCCAGGGCCCCACATAGTGGCAGAGTAAGATAAATGCTTTATGGCTCTCATTTATTTTTATTTTGGGAGGTTTTTTTGAGCTATACCCGGTGGTGCTCAGGGATCACTCCTGGATCTGTGCTCAGGACTCAGTCCTGGCAATGTTTCAGGGACCATATGGGATGCCAAATATGGAACCCAGGTCAGCTGCGTGCAAGGCAAGTGCCCTACCCTCTGTAATATCTCTCCAGCCCCACTCATTTATTTTTGCTGTAGCAGAAAACAGTAACTTTTTAATGTGTGTTGACTTTGGGGATTTTTTTTTAAATTTTTTCGAGGGGATTATTAATAGAAGCCGACCCGAGTTTGATTCCTCCGCCCCTCTCGGAGAGCCCGGCAAGCTACTGAGAGTATTCGATATGCCAGACACAGTAACAACAAAGTCTCCAATGGAGACGTTACTGGGCCCGCTCGAGCAAATCGACGATCAACGGGAGGGCCTTTACCTTTTACCTTTTTATTAATAGAAGTTAATTTCAAGTAGGCTTTTCTTTTGTTTAGCTAGCTAATGTGAACAAAATGATCATACCAAGAGGGTGACTGTAAAATAGTTATTTATCATGGCCTGTTGTGCAAAATTTTCTAGGCAGCCACTTTCGTAGAGCTTTGGCAAGAAATATCACGGAAAGACGCTACGTGGAGGTTTGTCTCCAGGCCTGTTCCCTTATGTTTGCCTTGGTTGTCAAAAAAGCGTGCAGCCAAAAGTAAGCCCTCTAACAGCAGTGCTCATTAAGATGCCAGTTCCTCAGTTTTTTCCATTGAAGACTGTATTTTTTTTTCTTTCATCAACAAGGAGTTAATTTTATCAGGTTGACCAGTTAGCAGTTATCTGGTAGAGAGGAATGAAGTTACAACCAGTTTTGTTTTGCTGGCCAGATGATCGTTTCGGACTTCTTAAACACCTTTGATTCTAGGGAATTTAAGTTTGAGGATTTACCTTGAATCAAACATAATAGATTCCACCTATAATTTTTGTTGGCGTGGGTCCTGGGGTTGAACCCAGAACCTTCGACACCTGAGGCAGGTACTGTGTATGGAGCTACGTCTTCAGCACAGAAAATGATTATTCAGAAATTCTACTCTGCCACCAGGGTTAAAGTGCTTTCCTTGCATGGGACTCAGCCTGGTCTGAATTCCTGGCACCCTTATGGTCTCTCGAGTACCATGAGGGGTCGTTCCCGAGCACTGAGCCCAGATAAGCGTGGCCCAAGCATCTCCCCGAACCCTTTGCCCCATGGCCTTTTCTTTTCCTAACTTCCAGGAAGCCTCCACCTGACTTTAAATAATCCGGGCTCTTTTATTGCCTAAAAATAAGATAACAATATATTCTGTCATCTAAAGTAAAACACTTTTGAGAATGCTAATGACAGTGGATGTAAAGTGAGTTTGTTTCAGCAAACTCGCTGATTTCTGTAGGACCCTTTCCTCAGCCTCGCCTGCTCCTCATTTGCAGCTTCGTTGGCCTCACCCTAACCCTTGTCTGGGAAGGTCAGGCATGCTTCTGCGTTATGTCTTTGGCGCTTGCTGATCCCTGGCATCTGTCAGCGCATTCCCTCACTTTCCTTCAGGGCTTTGCTTAGGTGTCATCTTCCCAGGACGACCCCTGACCACCCTGGGATTCGAGATTCCAATTCCATGCTCATCTCACACTGTATTTTGCTTATTGCTTTTTTTTGTTTATTTGTTTCACTCTCATTAGACACAAGCTCTGTAATGAAAGGGTCTTTTCCCTTCCTGTTTTGTTTATTGTCGTGTGTGTGACACACAACATAGCTTGTGTGTTGTGCAGTACAAGGCATGTTTAGGTATATACTAAATATTGGATGGAGAGTGAAGGAAATAGAGTTCGTTACGCAAATGAGAAACCGTTTGCTCATCAAATATTTATTGAGTTTTTCCTATGTTTTGGACTCTGTGCTAAATAACCTAGCATTGTTCTAAGGCCAAAAGTGGGATTTTGGGTTTTTTTTACTTTTTGGGTCTCACCCAGCGATGCACAGGGGTTACTCCTGGCTCTGCACTCAGGAATTACTCCTGGCGGTGCCCAGGGGACTATATGGGATGCTGGGAATCAAATCCGGGTCGGCAGCGTGCAAGGCCAACGCCCTACCCGCTGTGCTGTTGCTCCAGCCCCCAAAGTAGAAATATTTTTATGCACCTGAAAATGCCAAGTAAAATTTAGTTTGAAACATACAAAGCTATTTAGCTGTTCACAGTCATTAAGGATTGTTCTTTGGAATTCCAAATCAATTTTTTAAATTAAAAACTTGATTGTTAATATGGTAAATTTTTATATCCCAGAAAGAATCATCAAGTTTTTGATACCCATCTTGTGGCTGCTACTTTTTGTACTCTTTTTATTCTTTCATTCCAGCAAGCTGTCGAGGAGAAAAAGGGCATATCCGGCTATAGTTACACGCAGGAAGAGCTGGAAAGAGTGTCGGCGCTGAAGAGCGAGGTGGATGAGATGAAGGGGCGGACGCTGGACGACATGTCAGAGATGGTGAGACCCGCTCTTCCCCCTGAGACGCGCAGGCGTGCGTGGGGCTGGGGGTGGTTTTCAGCGGAGCGTTGAGAGGTTCGCTTCTGAGCCTCGTTTAGATTCTTTCCTCTCTTTCTCAACCTCTTGGATAATTTTCATCCCTGTGAAGTTGTTCAGCTTGTCATAGGTTTGTCTGTGTTTGTTTCTTCAAATTTAAGGGTTTTGAATTTACTTACTTCGCCAGGCGCCAGGCTCTCTCCATCTTTCCTGGGACAGCGAGGGCCTTATTGGTAAGGACCTGCCATCCATGCTGGGCGGCTCACCTCCGCTAACCGAGCCACTCGCCTGCACCCTCTGGGTCTCCTGGAGGTTGACTTTCAGCACAGCAGGAAGTTCTGGATTGAACTTCATTTGTTTGTTTTATGTGTAGGGTGATAACTCATTGATGATTTTTTGATTTGCATTTCTCTGATGACGAGTAATGCAGAGCATTTATTCCTACACCTGTTAGCCGTCTATATGTCATCTGGGAAGAAGTTTCAGCTCATCTCTTCTTCCCATTTTTTCACTTATCACTTAATCACTTAATCCCCGTTATTCATCGATTTATTCGAGCGGGTGCCAGTAACGTCTCCATTCATCCCGGTTGCGTGCTAGCGTAGCCCAATGGTATCTGTTCATTTTAGGAACATGTAGAGCCTCAAACCGATCATTTAGGGTCTTGAAGAAGAAGTCTGACCATCTTATAGGTGGGCGTCCACGTGATCTTTTGATGTCTCGTGGAATCCAATCAGTAATGGCTCTAGTCCAGCGGTTGTCTGTAAACCTCATTACATGTCCAGCCCATCTGATTTTTGATGTCTTGGCAAATGAGACAGCGTCCCTGATTCTTGAGCGTTGACGAAGATCAGAACTCCGGATTCTATCTCTCATTTGAGTGAATCGTGATATTCCAAGCATAGTTCTTTCGATTCCTCTTTGAGAGACCCGAATAGTGTTCTCATCCTGTTTTCGTAGGGTCCAGGTCTCTGAGGCATATGTTAATGCAGGAAGAATAGTGGAATCAAAGAGATGTGCTCGTAGCTGGAGGTTCTTTGTCCTTTTAGTTATTTCTTCAATGCTCTTGAAGGCATTCCAAGCCGCTCTCTTCCTCCTGCGCAACTCAGGTGCCAGGTCATTCATCATGTTGATTTCTCGACCCAGGTATATATAACTGTTGCATTCGGAGATGGTGGTTCCGTTGAGAGCGAATGGAGCGTCAGGAACAAGGCTGTTTCTCATAAACATTGTCTTCGCAAGATTCAGCTGTAGTCCGACCTTTCCATATTCACGGTCAAAGTTGTTCAGCATTTGTGCCGCTTGGTTGATGTTTGGTGTTATTAGAACGATGTCATCAGCAAAGCGGAGGTGGTGTAGTTGCCGACCATCTATCTTCACTCCCATGTTTTCCCATTCTAGCCGTCGCATGATGTTCTCGAGGGTGGCACTGAAGAGTTTTGGTGAAATGGTATCACCCTGCCGAACCCCTCTCTTGATATGGATGATTACTTCTTTGTAGAATGGTGAGATCTTGGTAGTGAATCCGCAATAGAGCTCACGAAGGATCCTGATGTATTGAGTTTGTACGCCCTGATTGGCTAGGGCTTCTATGACCGCTTCCGTCTCAACAGAATCAAAGGCCTTCTTTAAATCAATGAACGTTGATTTTTCATTTTTTCACACATTTTGAAATTTTTGATGTCATGTCTTTTGGTTATATGACAGGTGAAAAAGCTGAATTCACTGGTATCTGAGAAGAAGTCAGCTCTAGCCCCAGTTATAAAAGAACTACGACAGTTGCGACAAAAATGTCAAGTAAGTTTGATTTTTATACTAGTTTGACTGCTGTTTATTTGTTTGTTTTATTTTCTTTGCCACACCCAGTGCTGAGGGTTCCTTGTGGCTCTGTGTTCAGGGATCACTTCTTGCAGTGCTCGGAGGACCATAGGGAATGCTGGGGATCAAACCCGCGTCAGCCTCATACAAGGCCAGAACCCTGCCTGTTGTACTATCTCTCTGGCCCAATATACTTTCACTCTTTATCTTATTCAGGTATTCTAGCTAGTATCCTGACTGTTTTACTTAGGTAACTTTTAGATAAATTATTCTTGCTGGTTTTAGTATTTTATTGGTATGCTTCTACAAAAGAGAGTATTATGACTTAAAATTTTTTGTGGTTTTGCTATTATTGGGAAGAGAAGAAAAGAGGTTTAAACTGAAATCATGGGTGCATCAGACACTACAGGGCATGCAGTATTTTGATTGTTAACTATGGCAGTATTTTTATCTAGAGTCCTTGCTGCCATTTTTGTCTTTTAAGAAATTTTCATTGCCAAGAAAGGCTGGATTAAATTTTTCCCTTCCAGTTAAAAAAAAAAAAAATCAAGGTTGCAGAAAGACTGAATCTTGGCTTTCAGTCATATGCATATGAGCACTCTAAATATAAAGTCACATTCTGTGGCCAGGTAAAAGTTCCAAATCTGCCAACAAGTGGTGACAAGTTAACATTGGATTAGTGAACTGGAACAGTTATATGAGGAGCAGAGTGGCTACAAATATGATCTATATATATCTATATAAATATAGATATCATTCCCAATTGTACCTTAGAAAATAAAGTAACTGAGAATCAGCTTAATAAAAGAGGGTAAAGTCTTATACAGTGAAAATTATAAAACCCCACTAAAGGAAATACAAGAGGAAATTAGAAAATGGAAACACATCCCCCTGGATTGGAAGAATTAATATTGTCAAAGTGACCAGCTTTCCTAAAGCATTGTACAGATTTAGTGTGGTCTTTGTTAAAATACTCATGACATTTTTAAGCTGTTAAAATTTATATGGAATTTATATTGGGCCTGGATAGCCAAAGCACACCTGAGACATAAAGAAGATGGGAGGCTCCTCTCTCCCCTACTTTAAACTACACTAGGAAGCTGTAGTCATCAGAGCAGTATGGTACGAGAATACAGCTGTAGCCATCAAAAGAGAGTGCTGGAATAAGGACCGACGCTCAGACTAGTAGAAAGAATTGAGAGTCCATAGATAGAACATTAGGTATATGGACAGCTAATCTTCATAAAGTAGCAAAAAATATGAAGTGGAGCAGTGAAAGCCTCTTCGACAAATGGCGCTGGGAAACCTGGTCAGTCACATGCAAAAAAAAAAAAAAACAGAACCCTTTCTAACATCATGCACTAAAGTCAAATCAATATTGATTAAAGTCCTCTATATGAGATCTGAATCCATAGGTGATAGTGAGGAAAATATGTAGAATACCCTAACCTCATTGTTGGTTCCTGATGTGGTGACCGTGCTCAGCTGTGCTCAGGGCTTACTCCTGACTCTGTGCTCAGGAGTCACTTCTGGTGAGGCTTGTGGGGGTGAGAGAGAGCCTGTGTGTATCAGTGCCAGGATAGAGCCTGGTTGGACGTGTTCAAGGCAAGCTCCCTACCAGCTGTCCACGCTCCAGCCTTTAATCCAGCATCTTAAGCCATGGGCTGCAACCCCTTTCTGGAATTGTGTAATTGAATATGGAGGTGGTGAAAAATTTGGCAACCATAAAAGCTTTCTGAATATACAATAACCAAAACTTAATTTAGAATCAATCATGTGATTAATCTGAGGTGTTTCTAGTAGCTCTCACCGTGTTGCTTTTTCTCCAACAAAAGGAGGTCATGAGTAGAAAGTTTCCACTTGTGCTGTGGTATCTTCCTTCCATTGTGACACCCACGGGGTTCAGTGTACCTCTGTCTTATGCAGCCTCCGCTGCCCCTCCTCCCACTTAGGGTGTGTACAACTGTTTCTCACAAGAGTCTGAGTTTTCAGGAATTGACTTCGACACACAAAAGTCACACCTCCTTTTCACCCACCAATTTTTGGCACTACTGCAGTCACCTCAAACAAAATGGAGTTCCACATAAGGAAGGGAAGCCTCCAATACCCATTTGTGTTAACAGACCAGTTTCAGGAAAACCGACTTATTGAACCATAGCTTTCTGGGCTGGGCTCACCTGCTCACCATCCCTTCACACCTGCTGTTAACCCTTCATCCACAGATTCTGCTTTGAAAAATAACTTGGAATTATGGGTTCTAACTTCATACTCTGCCCAGGCTAAAGCTTTGTCTTCTGCTCTGCCTGGACATGATCCCTCTGTTAAACATGGTGGACTGTCCCCAGCCCCTTCGCCATGGTAACCGCAGGTGGTATCTTCTGTTTCCCTGGTAACTGATCCCTCTTTCTTACCGAGAGTTCAGTTCAACTCTCTACTGAAAGGATATTTACTGTACCTTACCAAGTATTTGTAGGTACTTTTAGTGTTTCTAGATACTTATAAGTAAAATATTTTTAGTGTATCTAATTCAAAATATTGTATCAGAGGAGTTTGAAACTATTTCCATAGTCTGAATTCACATTCTGGCACCTCTTTCCAGAGTACGATCTTTGGCAGGGATACCCGACCTCTCTGAACATTCTCCAGCAACTGAGGGAAATTAATACCTACCTCAAGGGGGTGGGGGGTGTGAAATTCAGCTCTTATCATGGATAAAGCTCAGCTAGATGGTTTACAAAGTTTTGATCAAGTCTCTGCTGAGATTTTCATCTTCTTTTTAAATATTTCCCAGACATATTCTACCATAAGAAAATAACTTGCGTGTCCTAAGTAGTTTATCTTCTTTCTTCATAAAGATTTCTTCTAAACCTTTCTACACAATATTGTACTTCTGTCAACATTTTCCTCGTCTACCTTTCCTCTAACTACTCTTACTAATCCTTAATACTTTGATTTGGGGTATCGGTTTCTCCAGGAAGTTGTCCCCAGTGATCCCCAGACCTGAGAACATATGGTGAGAATCCCGGGTGCCCCTGTAACACTATCTTGCCCAGAAGAGCACTCAGCAGCCTGTTTACTTATCTGAACATTCCCTGAAGGGTTTTGGACTCTCTTGTTCACTGTTGTTTCCCCAACTCCTGACAGAGACCCCAACATACAGCTTAAATTGTGGTAGCTGATCTTGTTTACCAGCACCTTTTTCTGTCATATTTGCCAGTGTCCCTGGTCATATAAGTAAATATGCCAAGAAGCTTAGAGTTAAGTTACCAGCTTGACAAGGGCATGCATTGTTTCTGAGCCACATTTTCGGCCTTTGCGTTTCGCTTCTTTCTTTACCCTTTCCATACCAGGAACTAACCCAGGAGTGTGATGAGAAGAAATCGCAGTATGATAGCTGTGCAGCGGGCCTCGAGAGCAATCGGTCCAAGCTAGAGCAGGTAAGAGACAGTTCCGAGTGCAAAACCTTAGCGGAAACTGGTATGTGCATATATATATATATATATAGACGCCATCAGAATATTCCCAGATCTTTACCCTCAACTCCCGAGTTTGATTCCTTCATTCCCTCATTCCAGAGATTTTTATTTTGTCAAACTGAAGTGTAAACTCCTTTTTTGTTTCTAACCTGAGCACAGATTTTAAAAAACTACCAATGTCCAGGCCGCATGATATCTCTTCTGAACTCCTGCAGTGTCTCTACAGTCTCCTTCCTCCACTCCTGACCCCCCAGAACTTCATTCTCCGTGTGCAGCCAGTGAAGCCTGTGTGAAAACTCAGGGCACCTGCCAGGAGTTTTCTGTGGTGTCTGAAATCTAACCCCAGATTGTGGTCTCACAGACTTCACCCACGGGGTTCCGTCACACTGTCACACTGACCTTTTTTTTCTTGTTTTTCTTTCCCCTTTTGGGGGGTGGGGGATGGGGGAGGTATCAGGGCTTCCTCCTGGCTACACTCAGGCATCACTCCTGGTGGTGCTGTGCCTGACTCCCTCTCTCTCTCTCTCTCTCTCTCTCTCTCTCTCTCTCTCTCTCTCTGACCCCACCTGTTTGTTTTTTTTGGTTTTTTTCCCCATTTGTTTTGGGTCATACCCTGAAGTGTTTAGGGCTTACTGCAGGCTCTGGGGTCACTCCTGGTAGGGCTCAGGGGGGCCGCTCAGGGGGCCGTATGTGGTGCTGGCGATCAAACTGGGTTGGCCTGTGCAAGGCTGTATTATCACTTCAGCCCAGCCCTCCCCAGCCCCCAGCCTTTTTCTTATTTGACCCGTTCCCATCGTGGTTTTCTTTTTGTGACATGCTGCTCCCATCTCTGCCTCACTCTCCTTTTCATCCTTTTGGGTCTCAGCCTAATCATCACCTCTTCCTACATACCTCTTATCATGCTAACATTGACTGGTTAGCGATCCTAAGCATTTTGCTGCTGAATTTTCTTTTTTTTTTTTTTGGTTTTTTTTTTCTTTTTGGGTCACACCTGGCAATGCACAGGGGTTACTCCTGGCTCTGCGCTCAGGAATTACCCCTGGCAGTGCTCAGGGGACCATATGGGATGCTGGGAATCGAACCCGGGTTGGCCGCGTGCAAGGCAAACGCCCTACCCGCTGTGCTATTGCTCCAGTCCCTGAATTTTCTTTATAGTATTTATGCTCATATGAAATGCTGACATTTGTTTCCTGTACTCGAATAAGAGCAGGGACCTAACTGTCTGGCTCACTGCTATATTCCTAGGACTACACAGTGAGTATTTAAAAATGAGTAACCAAATGGGACAATTTGAGATCACGTAAGGAACTCTAGAACAGATTACAGTTTTGTATGTCATAGTAAACAAAGCTATAGTCACAAGAGAAATGAATCTGATGGCAATTCTTTTATTTTATAAAGTCATCCTCTGCGTTTGATCATTTTTTCAGTACTATTGCCCATTTAAAATAATGTTGTGTTGTGGGGGCTGGAGTGATAGCACAGCGGGTAGGGCGTTTGCCTTGCATGTGGCCGACCCGGGTTCGATTCCCAGCAGCCCATATGGTCTCCTGAGCACTGCCAGGAGTGATTCCTGAGTGCAAAGCCAGGAGTAACCCCTGTGCATCGCCGGGTGTGACCCAAAAAGCCAAAAAGTAAAATAAAATAAAATTACGTTGTGGGGGCTGGAGCGATAGTTCAGTGGGGAGGATATGCAGACGGCCTGGTTTTGATCCCCACATTCCAGATGGTCCCCCAAGCACAGCCAGGAGTGATTCCTGAGTGCAGAGCCAGGTGTGACCCAAAAAACCAATAAATAAATAAATAAAATTATGTTGTGGGGTTCAAATGATAGCACAGCAGGGAGGGTGCTTACCTTGCATGCAGCTGACCCTGGTTTAATTCCTGGACCACATATGGCCGTTCCCCCAGCTCCGCTGGGAGTGATCCTTGAGTACAAATCCAGGAGTAAACCCTGAGCACCATTGGATGTGGGTCAAAAACAAAAAAATAAAATAAATAGAATCATACGTTGTATATTATAGGAAGTCAGAGGACTCCGTGAAGAATGTCTTCAAGAAGAAAGTAGATACCATTATACAAATTGTATGATTAAGGTAAGAAAAAGATAGTGCATCACAAACTTTTCTGAGACTTACTTCTATCAAGGCCTTAACGTCCTGAAACTTTGCCACCTAGAACCTAGAAATGCAGCTTCGTCGAGCTACAGATGAGATGAAGGCGTACGTCTCCTCCGACCAGCAGGAGAAGAGAAAGGCGATCAGGCAAGGACAGGCATTGTGTTTGTATTTGATCACTTCATGTTTTTATCTGTGGAAGTTTTATGAATGAGTTTTAAAGATTTTTCTGTCTGGGGCCTTCCAGTCCCACCCCACAAGACCACACCAGAAACCAAAACCTGTCAGCCACTTGGAAGGCATAAGTTGTTTTTAATTAAAGGTAAAAGGTAAAGGCCCTCCCATTGATCGTCGATTTGCTCGAGCGGGCCCAGAAACGTCTCCATTGGAGACTTTGTTGTTACTGTGTCTGGCATATCGAATACTCTCGGTAGCTTGCCGGGCTCTCTGAGAGGGGCGGAGGAATCGAACTCGGGTCGGCCATGTTGGCCGCGTGTAAGGCGAACGCCCTACCCGCTGTGCTATCGCTCCAGCCCCACTTCACTTGTTTTAGAACAGATGTTTTATATGCACAGTATTCAGAATGCAAAAGGTACATGAGAGTGTGCAGGAAAAAGTCATTCCCAACTCTTGCTTCCTCTGAGACTGAGAATATTTCCTAAGTCTGTAGTGTTATTCCTTAACATCTTTGCACAAAATTAAGTGTGGAGGCCAGGAAGATAGTAGAGGGTTTAAAGGTAAAGGTAAAAGGTAAAGGTAAAGGCCCTCCCGTTGATCGTCGATTTGCTCGAGCGGGCCCAGTAACGTCTCCATTGGAGACTTTGTTGTTACTGTGTCTGGCATATCGAATACTCTCGGTAGCTTGCCGGGCTCTCCGAGAGGGGCGGAGGAATCGAACTCGGGTCGGCCATGTTGGCCGCGTGTAAGGCGAACGCCCTTCCCGCTGTGCTATCGCTCCAGCCCCGTCGATTTGCTCGAGCAGGCCCAGTAACGTCTCCATTGGAGACTTGGTTGTTACTGTGTCTGGCATATCGAATACTCTCGGCAGCTTGCCGGGCTCTCCGAGAGGGGCGGAGGAATCGAACTCGGGTCGGCCATGTTGGCCGCTTGTAAGGCGAACGCCCTACCCGCTGTGCTATCGCTCCAAAATTTAATTAATTTTTTTTAATTAAAAAAAATTTGTTGTTGTTGAGGCAATATGTTTAGAAAAATGTAAGTTTTGGGGTATTTTTGGGGGGGCACTCCCACTGGTATTCAGGGCTTAACCCCTGGGTCAGTGGTCAGGGATCACTCTTGGCGGGGCTCCAAGGACTTTATGGGGTGCCAAGTGTTGAACCCAGGTCAACTGTGTGCAGTGTAGAATAGAGATAACACACTGGGCTATCTCTCTGGTCCTCACATTCTCTCTGTTATTATTTAAAAAAAAATTTTTTTTTAGGGACTGGGGAGATAGCTCTCAGAGGGTTGGAATGCATACTTTGCATGCAGGAGGCCTCTGTTTGGTTTTAAGCACCACTGAGTGTGGCCCTAAATAAATACATTTTTAAAAATAAACATTTCTAGACTAGAGATAATACAGCAGGTAGGGTGCTGGCTTTGCATGCGGCCAGTCTGGGTTTGCTCCCTGGCACTCTCTATGGTCCCTGAGCACTGCCGGGAGTGATTCCTGAGCAGAGTCACAAGTGACTCCAGAGCATCGCTGGATGATGTCCTAGTGTTTCTACAGAAAAATGTTGTCTAACGACTAGCGCATGAGAAAAAAATATATCAACAAAATGGAATTGATTGTACTCTAAACTCACCAATGAATGTTTAAAACAGAGGCCCCAATAAAGAGAAAAGAAAAAGAAAAAAAGAAAAGAAAACAGAGACCCTGGATGTGGCTTAGTGGTAGAACTCCTGCCTCATATATGAAGCCCCGGAGGATTCCTGACACCAAAAAATAAAAAGTGTAATGAGTGCTCAAAATACTGTGATAGACCTACTATTTTTATTATTATTCTACTTCTTTTTTTCTTTTTGCTAAGAAATTAACTTGGCTTTGCAAGATTATCAACAAATTTTATTTAAAGAAGCAGCATATTTTATTCCAAAGTGCTTAGAAAGGATTCAGAAAATATTGTGTCTAATCTGGTTTTTCTAGTTCTGGGTGGATTTCTTAGGCAGGTCACTTCCTCACCTATAGTACAAAGAGAACAATGTGTGTCACAGATAATGAAGTTAAATATAATGAGTTCAGCAGTGCTTGGGAAATCATGTAGCATGAGTTCCTGAAAGGCAGACCTCTGCCCTGTGTTTTTCTTGAAATCCTAGGTAGGACATGCTTGATGCATAACAGTTGTTCAGTAGTTACTTCCTGTATGAATTCATTGAATAAAAAAATTACTGGGGCTGGAGAGATAGCACAGCGGGTAGCGCGTTTGCCTTGCACGCGGCCGACCTGGGTTCGATTCCCAGTAATCCCACATGGTCCCCTGAGCACCGCCAGGAGTAACTCCTGAGTGCAGAGCCAGGAGTAACCCTGTGCATCGCCAGGTGGGACCCAAAAAGCAAAAAAAAAAATTACTTATCAGTGTTATTGGAAAAGAACTTGGGTCCAGTTGCCAGAGAGAGATCTCAGCAGTCTAAGGTAGGTGATATTCATGGCCAGGGCCATGAGCACCATCAGGGACAGCCCTGGGGCCCCCTGAGCATTACTGGATGTGGCTCTCATGGCCCCAAGCTCCACTGGACCCAAGCAGTGCTATCTCACCAGCCTGATCATTGCTCTCTGGGTATGGCTTAGAGTACTCAGCACTGAGTACTGCTTGGGAGATCCACGCCCCTAATGAAAGAACATCAGGGACCAGAGCAATGGTCTAGCAGGGAGGGCACTTACCTTGCTTGCAGCTGACCCAGATTCGATCCCTGGCACCCCATATGATCCCCTGAACTAGCCAGGAGTGATCCCTGAGTGCAGAGCCACGAGTAAGCCCTGAGCATTGCCAGGTGGGACAGAAAAACAAAATAAACAAACAAAAAACTCATTAGCCAGTTGATTCCTTGAGAAAAAATAATATATGTAACTAAAAAGATTTTTATACCCTCACACATAGAGTAATAAATGAATAAATCAATTTTTAACGGCCTATATCCTGCGACACCGGAAGTGGTGGTGTGCAGGGCCTGAGTCTAATACAGGGCCTCCACATGGCAGGTGTGTGCTTTACTAAGGAGCTCTCTCCCCAGCCCCTAAATAAGTTAGGTAATGTCATCTAAACCATAACAATTCATTTTTCTTGAACAGAATGTCATTCAAATCAGTCTGGCAGCTGCTCACTGAAGACCTAGAGAGGCAACTTCATTGCATCATTAGATTTCAGGGCAAATGAAGGTTCCTCAGGACGGTGTTTCTTTTCTTCCACTCCCATTCCCGTACACACCATTCTGCCTTTGCTAGAGTCACACCCTGCGATGCTCAGGGCTTCCTCCTGGCTCTGCGCTCAGGAATTACTCCTGGCGGTGCTCGGGGGACCATATGGGATGCCAGGGCTTAGAACTCAGGTTGGCTGTGTGCAAGGCAAACACCCTCCCCGCTGTACTATCGCGCTGGCCCCTACCTTTGCGTGTTTTGGTTTTGGGCCACACCTGGTGGTACTCAAGGCTGACTCCTGGCTCTGTGCTCAAGAACCACTTCTCAAGTGAGGGGATGTGGGGTTCTGGGATTGAACCAGGTCTGCCGCACAAAGCAATCTGTACTACTTACCCACTCGCTGTACTATCTCTCCAGCCCTCTACTTTTTGTTCATTTGTTTTTGGGCCACACCCCGTGGTGCTCAGGGGTTTTCCTGGATCTATACTTGGAAATCAACCATATGGGATGCCGGGGATTGAACCCTCGTCTGCCATGTGCAAGGCTAGAGCCTTACCCCACTGTCCTGTTTCTCTGACCCCCTCCAGCCCTCTGCTTTAACTCTGTATGGGCTTTGGTTACTTTCGATTGCCATTCTCTCCTATTCTAATTACTCACTTGTACAGTCATTTTTGGGGTATGTATGCCAGTCTTCCTTCACTTAGGCTATTAGAGTTAATCTTTGCGGCTTAGTTTCCCAAATTTGTGTTGCTTCATTTCCTCTTGAATACTGAATTGTAACTTTACACAGAAACATAATCTGTTTCCATGTACATTGAGGTATAAAATCTCTCTTATCTTCTTTGACCTTTTTTATTCCTTTGAGTTTTTGTTTGTCTTTGTTTTGAGTGACACTTACTCGGTGGTGAGGCTGTTGCGGGCCTGTTTGGAGGTTGCTCCTTGTGGCTCTGGGAACTCTGCAGTCCGTGCCAGGGATCCAGCCCAGGGCTCCTTTGTCCTTATCCTTTAACTTTCCCTGAGTACTCTAAACCACACTCTTGTCCTATGTGGTCTTAAATATAACTAAATTTTTTTATGGGCTGGAGCGATAGCACAGCGGGTAGGGCGTTCGCCTTACACGCGGCCAACATGGCCGACCCGAGTTCGATTCCTCCGCCCCTCTCGGAGAGCCTGGCAAGCTACCGAGAGTATTCGATATGCCAGACACAGTAACAACAAAGTCTCCAATGGAGACGTTACTGGGCCCGCTCGAGCAAATCGACGATCAACGGGAGGGCAAAAAAATTTTTTTATGAAAATAAAATGCAGGGGCTGGAGTGATAGCACAGCGGGTAGGGCATTTGCCTTGCACACGGCTGACCCGGGTTCGATTCCCAGCATCCCATATGGTCCTATGAGCACCGCTAGGAGTAACTCCTGATTGCAGAGTCAGGAGTAACCCCTGCGCATCGCTAGGTATGACCCAAAAAGCAAAAACATAAATAAATAAATAAAATGCAATATTATGAATATTTTACATATACATTAAAAATTGTGATTTTGGGGGCTGGTGCAGTAGCACAGCGGGTAGGGCGTTTGCCTTGCACAAGGCCGACCCGGGTTCAGTTTCCAGCATTCCATAAGGTCCCCTGAGCACTGCCAGGAGTAATTCTTGAGTGCAGAGTCAGGAGTAACCCCTGTGCAATGTTGGGTGCCCCCCCCAAAAAATTGCAATTTTTTAATCTTTTTGGTTTTGTTTTGGGGCCATACTCAGTGGTACTCAGGGCTTAACTCCTGGTTCTGTGCTTCAGGATGATATCTAGAGGATCATATCTGACAGGCTTTGGCGGACCATATGGGATGGCAGGAATCAAACCTGTGTAGACATATGCAAGGCCAGTGCCTTTCCCACTCTGTCTCTCTGGCCCCCACAATTTTTTAATCTTATGAGAGAAATATTTATAAAAACAGTAACCATTATGAAGTACAGCACACAAAGCAATTGAAGGTTGTCCCCATTACCATTCTTCTAAATGTCTGCTGTTAATATTTGTTTTGTTTCTATTGAAGTGAGATAGTTTTTATTGAATGAAGCTTATTTAGAAAGATGTGAGGGGAGAGAAGTACGTGTTCAAGAGAGAACAGGGCCTTATCCAGAGTGGAAAAGCAAGTAAAGGGACAGAGAGACACACACAAGAGAGATGCGTGTTCCAGAGAACATGGGCTTGAAGAGCGAGGCTACTTAGGATATTAAGCCTGTTCGTATTTTTGGGTACGTTATTCCATATCCCTTTTCCACACATTTGCTAATATATCTTAATATGTGTATGTTTGCAAACACTTGAGGGAAATTGGTTTGCTTTTGGATCACACTCAGCAATGCTCAAGATTTACTCCTGGATCTGTGCTAAGGGATCACTCCTGGCAGGGTTCAGGGGACCATATGGGGTGCTGGGGATTGAACCCAACTGCCAGGTATGTTTTACTCGCTGTACTATCTCTCTGGTCTTAACATGGAGAAATTTTCTGTATGTATACAATAATGGCACTCCATGCCAGGCTTTTTCACTTGGGGCGCTCCAGAGTGGGGCAGGTGAGAACCCTCCCTGCCCCAAGTGACCAAGCCCTGGCAGCCGACCTCCACTACCCAACCGCTGTCACGCTCCAGGCCGCTTTCCGGACACATTATAAAACACTTCTGACCCATTTTCCATAATTTCCACACCATATTTGATGGGGTTCAGACAGTAGGCAACAAATCATAAAGAGAAATATATAGATATATGCCTCTCGGAGAGCCCAAAAAGCTATCGAGAGTATCCCGCCCACACAGGCAGAGCCTGGCAAGCTCCCCGTGGCATATTCAATATGCCAAAACCAGTAATGGCAGCAGGTCTCATTCCCCTGACCCTGAAAGAGCCTCGAATCGTTGGGAAAAGACGAGTAAGAAGAGGCTGCTAAAATCTCAGGGCTGGGAGGACTAGAGACAGTGACTGGTGGCTGCCCGAGTGATGGAACGACGACGGGATGACAGTGATACAATAATGAGATATGGTTACAGTTTTTCTCTTAATTATTTATGTAAAGTCCTTTCCATTCCACTATTTATAATGTTTTCATTTTTATTATTCTGTGTAGCTCATTTGAATGGATATGCCATATTTATTCAATTTTTTCCTTACCTATTGGCATTTAGTTTGTTTGCAAGTTTTCAGAATTATGTGCAGCGGTGTAAACTAAATAGTTCTTACTTTTATCTTCATGAAATTTTGAGTTTTTGTGTAGGATGGTTTCCTAGAAGTGGAATTACAGGGTTAGATGCTAGCTAGTAGTTATTTACAATGTGGATCCTTCCTCCTTTCTGCAAACCTCTTCAAAAAACAAAGTGTTATTTAAGTAAATGTGTTCCCTTTGTTTTTAGGGCAGATTAAACAGAAATAGCATTTAGCATTTTAATCCTCTTAATTTCTTATTTTGTGTTTCGCCTTTTTCCCCCCTTTTAAATGACTGTTTACTGAACAAATGACTAAAGAGGGGAGAGTATTTGATAATGGGTTTCATTCTAACTCTAGTGCTTTAAACTATATTGCCGAATGTATTTAGATAGATGTTAATTTATAATTTAGTTATATGATCACATTAACTGGAGTAAATTGAAACTAAATCATTATGTTGACTCCCTAGGGAACAGTATACCAGAAATATTGCCGAACAGGAAAATCTGGGGAAGGTAAGAATATAGATATTTTCGTGTGTCTAACTGCAAGTTTCCATAAATGGCTATAACATTGTCATTCTTTTAAAAGGGTTGCGTTGTAGTTTTCAAGGAAGAATTCATATCCTTCATTTCTTTCCGAGTTGAGACTCTTCCATAGGAATTTAGTTTTGTAAAAGTCATGAATTTGGGAGGAAAAATCTAGTTCTAAATAACAAAACAAAGGCAAGGGATGTAGCTCAGCAGTAGAGCTCTTGCCTTGCGTGGGAGAGGCCTGGGTTCAAACCCTGCTGCTAAAAAGAACCAAGAGCTCAAGAGAAAGTTTGGTAGAGCCACTAAAAGATCCTGCCGGGGCGAAGGTGCTGGCCTTGCACGCATTGGCCCAGCTTGGTTCCTCAGCACTGCCCGGAATGAGCCCTAAGCACTGAGCAAGAACTAAGTAATGCTGGGTAGTCAACCCTCCCCCACGCCTCCCCACTGGGAAAACAAAACCCAGAACAACCTCATATAATGCAGATTGAATCCCATGTTATGTTTTGTCTGGTAACGAGTAGCCATATACTTGTTTGTTTAGTAAAGCTCCTACTATGAGTTTGGCACTTCTCTGAACCCTTTACATTCTCCAGGCCCTACAGACATTCTTTCAATATAAGCAATTTTTTAAAATCTTACACTTGAAGGGGCCTGAGTGATAGTACCTTGCGTAACATACTTAACCCCACACTGTTGTGGGGTTAGAGAGATATTTGTTTTCTTTTCATTTAATTTTGTGGGGTTTTGTTTCATTTTTGCTCACTCCTGATTGTTCATGGGGTCTCTCACTCCTGGCTCCAGGCCTGAGATCCATCCTAATGGTGCTCAGGGGATCAAACCCAGGCCCCTGCAGGTAAAGCCTGCACTCAGCGTGTTGAGTTGTCTCTGAGTTTAGTCTGTCTTATTTGGGCAAGTCCCAGCAGCCTGCGTTCTAATTTGTTTGCTCAGTTCAGCTGTTAGCTGAGCCATAAACTAAAGCAGAAAAGATGAGGCTATGCCTGTGGCATCTGTTTCTCTTTCTTCGCTTATATTTCTGTCCTTTTGTTTTTCTCATCCTCGGTGCCAGTGTATTTGTCACCATTGTGTTTCCTAAGTGTGTGCCGTTGTTGTCTGCTGCCCTCTGCTTTCCTTCCTTCCTTCCTTCCTTCCTTCCTTCCTTCCTTCCTTCCTTCCTTCCTTCCTTCCTTCCTTCCTCCCTCCCCCCTCCCTTCCTCCCCCCCTCCCTCCCTCCCTCCCTCCTTCCTGCCTTTCCTCCTTCCTTCCTTTTCTGTCCTCTTGCAGCTTCCTTCTCTTCACTTGTTCCTTTCTTGCCTTTCATTGTCTCTGACTTGGTGTTCGTCCCTCTTTTCAGAGTAACCCTGCCTCAGTTCTCATAACTCAGAACCAAAGTATATTTTTGCACTGTATTTAAACGTTTTCGTATTCCTACTTGTTATTTTAAAGTAAGAGGAGTGAATAGTTCTGACAGTAGAAGCCTAGAGTCTGTTAGTAACAAATATGATTCTGAGGGCCCTGGCGTGTAGCTCAGCAGTAGAGCACATTCCTTACATGTGTGAGGCCCTGGGTTTGATCCCAGCCACCAAACACACAATATTTTTTAAATGTTTTTAATTGTAGGATTTGGATGTATTTGCCACTGTATATTTATTTTATTTTATTTTATTTATTTGGGGCCAAACCTGCCGATGCACAGGCCCTATTCCTGGCATGTTGCTCAGCGACCATTCCTAGTGGTTCTCAGGACCACGTGGGGCCTGGCATGAGACGAGATGCGTGCGGAGCATGCACACTGGCACTGTAAGCTAGCGTGCTGGCCCCCAGACTCCCATGCAGTCACTAGACTTCTCCCTGAGGAATGTATGCACACAGTTTGTTTGTACATATGCACTGATTCAGGGACGAGTACAATATTTAATAAAATATGACACATGATAGTTTATTAAATAATTCCATGTAGTATGTCATGTGAAAAAATAATCTTACAAGACCGATAATTTATTTGTCCCTTATTATTTACCTTAGATGATAATAGAGAAAACTGAGAAATTGTCTTACAGTATCACACAGTCAAGATCAAAACTCAAGTCTTTTGACTTCCAAAGTCTGTGTTCTTTCTACACCATGAAGCTCTTCCACTTTCCTGATGCCCTTTATTCCGCCCCAGCTTTTTAACTTTGAATTGTCCAATTTTGTCATAAATTTAATTTTTATAAATCTTAGGATTCATTCTTCAAAGGATAACCTGGTTTCCTTTATTGCTTACCAAGCTTACAATACATAGCCAAATTTTCTGATTATTTTAATAAAAGTAAATCCCTGTTGCATCTGAGATTTAATGATTCTTTTTTATTTTATTTTATAAATTTTTATTAGTGAAACACCATGAGGTACAGTTGTAGACCTACAAATTTTTGTGCTTGGGTTTCAGTTATACAATGATCCCTCCACCAGTTCCCATTCTCCACCACCGCTGATCCCACCCCCCAACCCCCCACGCCACCCTGCCTCTGTGGCAGGTCATTCCCTTTTGCTCTCTCTCTCCTTTGGGTGCTGTGGTTTGCAAAAGAGGCATTGAGTGGCAATCATTTTCGGTCTATGGTCTACTTTCAGCATGCTTCTCCTATCTTGGGAGGATCCTCCCAACACCCTTTATTTGGTCTTTATATATTTTTTTTTCTTTTATATATTTTTTATGCTAGAAACTTCGAGAAAAACAAAAAGCTGTACGAGAAAGTCATGGTCCAAATATGAAACAAGTGAAAATGTGGCGTGATTTCGAACAGTTGATGGAGTGTAAGAAACAGTGCTTTCTGAAGCAGCAGAACCAGGCGGCCATCGGCCAGGTGATTCAGGAGGGAGGAGAGGACCGCCTGATTCTCTGAAGCCTCGCATCGGATGAGGCCGCAGTCCATCCCACTCACTGACAGCGCATCCCAGGATGCAGTTCTTAAAAGTGATTTGTGCAACACTTTGCTCTCAGAATAGCTGTTTCCTATTAAGTTTTCTTGGAAGACAGTATATGTGGGCTTTTAAGTTTAAGTTTGAGAAAGAGACTTTTGTTGTTTTGCTTGGTTTAGTCATCAGTGGTGTCTTCTGAGTTTTATGAGACAGGAGACTAAGTTTACTATCCATAAAATGAAAACATGTGTCCATCAAGAAACATGTCACTTCTTTTAAGTATAAATAACCTAATGACTTACTGTTTCTCTCAATCTTTTTTTAACTTTAGAGGACTCTTTTAGCAACTAATATCTCTTGTTTTGAAGAAACGTTTATCTGAAGTTCATTAGTTCCTACAGAGTTCATTAGTTCCTACAGTTTCACTTCAGTTTCTTTTTTTTTTTCTGTGACTGTCACACAATTTTAGTATTTTGAATGACATAGTTGTTCTCTTTGTAAATTTAATGGCAAATAAAACTTAGTGCACATATCATGACTTTTTATCTTAAAATTATAGTTTTGTCACATTGTGTTTCTGTGTTATTTTTTTAAGTAAGCATTCCTGTTGTTAAACTGTATTAGATTCGGGGCTTACTCCTGCCTCTGCACTCAGAGGTCACTTCTGGCAGGGTTTGGGAGACAATATGGGGTTTCGGGGATAGAACCCGGCTCAGCTGTGTGCAAGGTAAGTGCCCCACCCACTGTACTAGACTAGTACTTACTTTCACCAAAAACGAAATAAGATGTAAAATATTGTCATCTTCACAAAAAAAACTTAAGAACTAAAATATTGTCATTTTCACCAAAAAATTAAATAAATCTAAAATATTATCTTTAGGTCTTCATGGGGGAGGCTTGGGTGGGAATTGGTTCCTTTTTTTTTTTTTTTTTTGGTGCAAGGGTCTCCCAGGCAGGGCTCAGAGGCGTTCCTCCATGAGCCGGCTGTGTAGACCTGATTGTTCAGACCCAGTGGCACCACCAGGGCCACACCCATCTCTCCCTGGGGTGCTCCTGGGTCATCATGCAGTGCCAGGGTTGGACCTTGGTGAGTGTGGATATAGGCATGAGTTACAGCCCGTCGACAATACCCTGCACCCTAGATTTTGTTTTAAATATTAAAATTTGTTATAAAAATAGATGTCAATCATATGTTTAAAAAAGTCAGCACAGGACAATATGCAGGAGTGTGGGATGGGGGTCGGAGCCATAATACGGGGGGGGCAGGGGTGCATGCCGGTGGGTGGCCAAACCAGGTTTAATCCCCAGTACCACATTAAGGTCCCCCAAGCCCTGTATGATCCCTGAGCACCATCAGGGTGATGTAACCACTCCTACACCCCTCCCCTCACCCCTCCCCCCAAAAGAAACTCAGGAGCGTAGAGTATTTGCAGTCTCTGCTTATTTGGACTCAGTTCTTGATTTTTGTTTGTTTTTTAGACTTACCAGGGAAAAACATAAAGGAGTGTCTTTTAACAAACTGTAAAGAAAGGAAAATTGTAGTAGCATTACCAGGTAGTTTAAATATGGTCTCAGCCAGCTTTGAGGCAAGGATTAACTCCAACCATTCACTTCTATGCTATAAGGTCAACAATTAGATCAACTATTAACTTAAAGAGGAGCAAGTGGAGTTTTATTGTGTGACTACAAGCCCAGCTTTACTGAATAATCAGGTTTTGAATGTTAATATACATACATTTGTTAAGCGTTAGCTACTAGATTATTATTTTTAAACTGTAGTAAGCTATGTTCCTTTCAGTAGCATAGAAATTCCTTTGCACATATTTGGAAAGAATTAGATGCCTTTTAGAAGCAGCATAGGAGAGTCAGCTGACTGATTAATTTTTTTAGCTTATATTGTCTTCGGTGCTCTTTGCAATTTTTAAAATTGCTAATGACAGATACTTCAAGGAATGCATATAATTCTGATTTAATTATTGCTTGCCATCTATCTTCGACACAGACTATGTGGATTAAACAATTAAGGCAGCTCCAAATTACTTTATTAACTGAAGCAGAACATCATTATTACTTCAAGAAAAGCAACTTAAAAAAACTAAAAGTACAAAGTTATTTATAGTTTTTATGTAACATCGGACATTTAGTAAAGCAGCTTCGTAGGACTATTTCGTGCCCTGTTTCCTGCAGTGACTTTCCTCTCCTCCCTGATTTGATTGGAACATTAAAAAGCTTTGACGGTCTCAGACGGTTTGGGGCAGCTGGCACTTGGAACTGCTCATTACATTTTCCCTTCAAGACTGATACTCTAGCTGGCTAATTGATGAGAGCACTTAATCATTTTGGAAAATAATCTTGTCTTCCACATGATGGCCCAAATAAAGGAGAAAAATGTGGCCTGTGAAATGTGCTTCTTGAGTTCAGAGATTTCCTCCTCGAATGCGGCATTGCCAACTCTTGCATGGGCCTGACTGTGCAAACTGTACGCTTCGAAAGGCCACTGCTTATCTGGCTTTCTCTGTTGGTTTAGGAAGTGCTCCAGCCTTCAAGGCTGTCCTTTAAGAAGAATCTTAAGAGAAGAATTATCTCTTTGCTGCTGCTGCTCTATTAACCACCAAGTTCTTAGAACATTATTCAAAGGCATATGGGAATGAAATCAGGTCTCAGGAAATTTCAGAACATTCCCCTTTTTCCTTTGGATTAATTCTGTCTTTGGGTGGAGGGAGGGGCTGTATTTTGGGTTTGGCGCCCCATACCCAGTTGTGTGTTCAGGGGTCATTCCCAGTGGTTCTCAAGGGACCATGTGGTGCCAGGAATCAAACCTGGGTCGTCTACAAGTAACACATGTGCTCTAGGCCATTGAGCAATCTTCCCAGCCCACGTACTGTCATTTTGCTTTAATTCAGAAGGCAGCAATGATTATAAAAGCCATTCTATTAAGCTCTCCTATAAAACCAAATGTATACTCTGTCCAATTTAAGATAACCTCATTTGGACATGTGATCTCATGCATTTGCCAAGTATGTTTGTTTCTTAAGTTTTTAGACTGAAACAGTACTTTTTGGTAATTGTAGTAAAATAAAAAAAAATGAGTCTGTTGCTCAGACTCAAATAAATTTGCAGAGTTCTTCTGATTTGCATTTGAAAATGCACGATTTGTAATTTGCCAAAGCTGACTGCACAAAGGCAAAAATCGAAACATGTATTGGAAAAAATAATTTCATGTGTGTTTCATTATTACAAGATGTGAGTCTCGTAGAAACGTCTTTGTCTTCCATAGGTCTTTACTCTGTGGGAATGACTAATGAGTGTGAATCAAAGACTTGTTTCTGCAGAAGGTTATAGGCGCTTACATCATTCCTCTTTCTTGACACGAAGGAGTCTTTAGCCCTGGGGAGAAGGTAAGTTAGTGCCTTATGATTAACTTTGGTTAGTGATGGTTATATCACTAACTTTCCCAGTTGTAATAAAGGCGAAATCTAGATTATATATACAGTGCCTTCTTTATCAAATAATCCATGGCTGCCAGGGGAGAAATCAAGCCACACTGTTACTGAATGTATAGAGTCTGTTTCCTCTGGAGAAGCCTGCCGTAGTTCTCCTTTTTTCCCTCTAATGAGATCATGTTAATTAGAGCTCTGGTGTGTGGCAGCCGGCCTGAGTGAGTTTTTTGCCTGGGAAGGATAGAGAAGGATCCAGAAGGATAGAGTGTTTGTGTTTTCAGTCCCTGACCCTCCTGTCTTAAGACAGCCCGAAAAAAGAGGAAGTTGGTTGTAAAGAAAGAAAAAAACTTAAGCCCACATCCAAACAAGTTTTGTGTGTTTTTTTTTTAAGACTTGGACAAACATGCTTTTTGCTCCCATGCTCCCTCTTTTGGCAAGCTGGAAGTACTTTCTCAGCAAACATCGGTAATTTTAGTTTCCGTTCTAGAATTGTTGAGACATTTGAGTCACCCAGCTTGGTGCACTGCTATGGAAAATCACTATTCGGAGCCTGGGAGGAAATGAAAGATTTCTGTTTTGCAGTGGAAGTGTTCGTTTCCAACCCCGTATAACAGCGGTCCCGGCAGGTCTGCTCCGAGCGCTACACGTGATGACCTGGTAAACTGAGCGTAAAGAAACCTCGGAATGATTCATCTAATCACTTATTAGTTTGGGACCTTTGAGTGATCTCTTGCAGCCTTCCTGCAGTTCCGAAATCTGTGCGGTGGCTCTCGTAGCGAGTCACTTTCCAGCCTCTCCTGAGGAACCGCAATGCGGCTCGCTCCTCACGAGGGAGCCTGTGTCGCCGTTAAAGGGCACAGCTTGATTAGTTTCATGCTTCTGGAAGGAAAGCACGCTTACAGACAAAGGACATTTTCCCAAACAGCAGTTAGGTCAAAGGGGATCGGAAAAAGCTTGCTTGCTCCCTGAAGCTCTGTAATCATAATAACCCTGGTGTTAATGTTGATGACGGCAGCTAGGCTCACTGAGCACTTACTATAGACCAACCACTGTCCTGAGTCTATGTGAGTTGCTGAATGAAATCACAATAACCTCACAATAACCCTATGCGTTACTTGCTGTTATTCCCATTTCACAGAAGAGGAAACTGAGGCACAGAGAGGCTTCCACTGTAACTCCGAAAGAGCCAGGGTCCACACTTAACTGCTTGCTATATGGCAATGTGCTCATGTATGTGCCAACTTATACATACAGGCAGATGGGTGGCCACTAAGAGTCGTAATACATGTGAAATCATTATGCTATTTCTTATAATCCTTTTTTTAAATTTCACATACATTTTACTTAATGTATTTATAGAACAGATGGTAAAAATAGTTAAAAATAAGCTCTACCTATTAGATGAGATGTTGATATTAAAAATACATGCTTTGGGGCTAGAGTGATAGTACAGCGGGTAGGGTATTTGCCTTGCATCCGACCAATCAAGGTTCAGCCCCCATCACTCCAGGTGGTCCCCTGAGCACAGAACCAGAAGTAAGCCCTAAGCACAGCAGGTGTGGATCAAAAGAAAAAAAAATATATATATACATATATATATCTGCTTTTGGGGTCAAAGACACAGTACAGGAAATAGTTGCTTTCCTTGCATGCACATACTAACCCCCGCCCAGGCCCAGTTCAATCCCAGCATGGGGTCTGTCGTTCCCTAACACCACCAGGAGTATGCCCTGAGCACTGCCGGTGTGGCCCAAAAACTAGAAACACGCTTTGAGCCAGGAATGTGTCTCATTGCTAGAGTCTTGCATGAGTTCAATACCTCGCACTGGGAAAAAAACAAGTAAAGTTAAAGTGCATGTATTTAAGTACATGCAGTTAAAAGTTAATAGTTTTAGAGAAAACGGAAGTTTTATAGGTTATAATTTAAATCTTTCCCGGTGAAATTATAAAAAAAAAGATATCTCTTTATCATAGGACATGAGTTTCTTTTTACTTTGTGAATAATGCAACAATGAAACTTAAAGATTTAAATATAATAAATTATTGAGCCAGACCAAAAGAAAAACAACCATATTTAGTTAACTTGATTCAATAAAAAGTCCATTAAATAGTTTTATAAGTTACTGTTTGGT